AATTAAAAGAGTTCACTTCACAACATAGGTACACGTCCAACAAAAAAACTACGACAACCTGAACTTGACTAGAAGAGATCAAATTTCCCTTACTTATCTTCGACCTTCGAATAAAAATGTTCCATAAAATATTTCCCATCCTAAAATCCGTCTATTTTGCAAGTCACGGTTCATTGAACTTAGAATAACCTCAGTCAAGACGCAAGACGTTTGTATAAGGCTTGTGTAACTAGCTAATACTCTCCACTTTGGTTATGTAATATATATATTAGATACTTAAATATAGATAGATATGGCTTTTTATTTGGTACAGCAGCAAAAGAGCATCCGGCTGATATGATTTTAAGCAATCGTTGTTGCTACACGTTCCAAACACCTAAGGAGTTTCAAGTACGTTGATGGACTTTTAGGGATAAGGAATAAAGGGGAATCAGGGATTGGAGAGGAATGGGAGAAAGGGATGGATTGGGTATCCGGTATCCACACGATAAAAAACAACTATTTTGAGGGGGTCGACAATTGACTTTTCTTGCCCAGGGTGAGGGAGAGAGAGTGTTAGACTCTTACTGACTAAGAAACAGAGGAGCTAGGACAATGATATGGTAATTAATAAGAGTTTAGGTTTGATTACGGGCTTTTATTATCATTTTGTCACTTAAATCCACTTTGTTATTGCAACATGTAAGGAAAGTTGACTGCGCGGTTGGTGCGGTAACTGGGCAACTGGCTGCCGATTCCCGTACAGAACAACTCTTTATGTAATCCACAAATTGTTGTTTCGGGTTTGGGTGTGATGTGTTTGTGAAATTGTATATTTGTAACCGCACCCAAGACAGGAGAAAATCATACTGGAAGCAACGTAAAAAAAAAAAATAAAAAGAAAAAGTATTTTTAGGTATTTTTTCTTAATATACAAGTTTTTGATATAAAATCGTCAGAAACAAATAAACAAATAATATGACACTTCCATATTTATAACATAAAAAGCAGAGACTGTACTATAAATATACACATACATATATAATGTAAGTAGACTTTAATAAATGTAGCGTTGGGGACCTTCTATTCACAAAATGTTCCCTAACCAAAGTATATTATAAAAAGACGATTTTTCCATTACATTTTCAACTATAAACCAAAGCTATAAAGTTGAAAATGTTAAAAAGAAATTGGGCGGAACGGGGAAGGTTAATTTGCTGGCGTCTGTAGGTACATACAATCAATCATAGTCTTAGCATTTGTGACATTTATTTTGTACCTTAGAAGGTAAGTGAACTGGCCCACTTTCCGTCACCTTTTACAGGAGTCGTTTGTTACTGCTTATCTGTAGGGACTCGCCTACATAGATTATTTTCCTAGATAACGTCGGCTTTTAGACGCATAATAAACACTTTTATGTTATCCTGGTTCTTTGGTCGCTAGTATATAGTAGAATTTCTAGGTTTTTTTTTATGTTATAGGTCGGCAAACGGGCAGACGGATTACCTGATGTTAAGCAATCAGCGCCGCCCATTGACACCCGCAACAGAGGAGTTATGAGTGTGTTGCCGACCTTTTAGCGATTAGGAATTTGGAGATTAAGGGATTGAGGAGGGATGTGGAGAGGGAAAGGATTGGGTTTGTAGATATTTTTTTGGAATCTTTAGAAAGATTTCTTTTTTTATGAGCCGTTCTACTTACATATGACGTGATAGTAAGCAATCAGCTGCACTAATGGACACCTGCAATACTAGTGGAGTTACGGGGGCGTTGCCGGAGTTTTGGGGATTAGGATTTGTAAGAGATTGGGGGAGGCGATGAAGGATTGGGCCTTCATCGCCTCCACAATCATACAGTATAACACACTCTGTGGTTGTTCCACGCTAGTATTCTGTGGGAAGGTCCATAAAACGGTACCTGACTTAAAAAATTCTACGCTTAATATGTTAAATCTATTTGAATAGGATAATATTAATATTAAAATCAACATAAAGTTGAGATACCCCGATTTTTAAATACCATTTAGTTTTAGGTCATTTAAAAATAGAGTACATAAATAGGTGCTAAAAAAATGGCTTGAAGTCAGGCTCACCTAAGTAATTAATAAAGCATTCAGGCTGAAATACTGAAACGATTTTATTTTTAAACTCAGTGAGTTTCGATTTTTTTACAGCAATATTGTCTTATGGTGATAATGTTGTCGGTAATGATATACATATGTATATCAAGAACATTTATAATATTTGAAATTAGAGAATACCCGACCAGGCTCACGATGATAGCTTAATACCGTACTGCTCTCCAGCAGGAGTAAGAACGGGATAGTTTTTAATCAGTTTGAGTCTGATACGGGAAATGTCTCGTCTATATAATTTTTGAAAACTACATACACAAGACACAGAAATTTAAATCCAAAAAATTACGAAATTTCGTTGTACTTACTACCTTACCACTTACGGTTTAAAATTATGAGCCGCGAGACCTAAAAAAAATTATAAATAAAACATGCCTAATAAACCTTTATAAAAACATTAAACTGTTTACTATTGTTTAGTTTTAAGAAATTAGTACAATTTAAGGTTTACCCTCGATTTTCTTAGAAACTCCTAATTAGATCCAAAATAGGCATAAATGGATTCAGGATTTCTTCTCGGAGTAGCTACACAGAACATTTTTAGATTTTCAAAATATGTAATGTTGACGTGTAAAAGCGCTGTAAATAGTATGTAATAGTGGCCTATTAACAAATAAGTTTTATAAAAAAATATTATCACAACATTAAAGTCAACAATGAACTAAAATTGTATGAACAGCACTACGTACTTAATTTGCCACAGGCTGCATTCTTAATCTTTGTTCATTTCTTCACTTCTCTCACGAATCGGTAAGCAACAGGTTGATCTCTAAGGAGCTCTTGGCTACATTAGGTCTTGTGGTAATGCTATAATAAATATAAAACCATTTGTAACTGGCCTGTTTCCATGTGTCGTAAGATACACACAAACCCAGTAAAAAAAAAACATTTTGTGAAAAATTGCAATTATTTTTTATCTCCTCGTCTTTACCAAAGAACTAACTAAAATCTCTTTAAAATCTCTGCCTTTTAATACTTATTTAGATCAGATTAACTCAAAGTTAATGAAAGAGCGAAAACCTCTTTTGAGTAGAAAAATAGTGAATTCAGAATTTCTAGACGAACTTAATGAAATCTGAAGCTGATTGGCTGAGCCAATTGAGCCTGAAAATTAGTTTACTAAGAAATTAGCTGGCAAATCTGAGGCAAGAACTGATGTAGTTATTGGATTATAGCACAATTAGCCGATTGTAGTTTTGGTCTCTTTTATATGGTGGTGTATATTTTTAGAGTAGGTATTTATTTTGCTTACAATTATGGGATTATTTACTAAATTTTCGAACGCCTTTAAAAGATATTGTATTTTTGGAAAGATATTGTATCTTATAAACCAAACTACACAATAGCCTTTTTGTTGAGGTTAGAAAATCATAAATTTACTTCTTCCACCGTATGTGAAAAGGCAGTGTCAGACTCTTACTGACTGAAAACCACTTCGTTCCTTCTCCTGCTCAGGAGCCGCGACACTACTGCGCTTCGGCTCAACCAATACTCCACTCCACGTGACACAAAAGCTGCAATTCGATTCTTTTTCTTCGATTCCCGCACGGAACAACATTTGTGGGATCCACAAATTTTTGTTTTGGGGTCTGGGTGTCATGTGTATGTGAAATTGAATGTTTGTAAACGCACGACACAGGAGAAAATCCTAGTGTGGGCAACGATTCTTTTAAAAAAAATAAAAAAAAATTCTTCTTCGCGCTCGCTTAGTAATATGTTATAGCGCGTTACGAAAATAATTGATTATTTCAACATATATTAAAAATACTACATTCAATCTATGGCGCATCAATGTAAACTAAATCAAATAGAACACATTATATTTACACAATGAAAGTGAAATAGTAAACATATAATACTTACTACATGTACTCTTGAAGGCACTACATGTTGCCCCGTCAGTATAGCGCGACCACTTAAAGTGGTGCTTTTCAATAAGACCTATTTATTCCATTAGTGTAACTCCAAGTGCCTAGAAACGGTTTACAAATGTATCTTTACTATAAAATTGAAAGAAAATAAACATTCGTCGAGTTTTACTCAAAGAATATACTCTTTTCACAATAAAGCTCAATATATACAACATAAGTGTGGGAGAGCCATGCTTCGGCACGAATGGGTCGACTCGACCTGATTGATAGTAGTGCCTCACAGAAATCCGGCGTAAAACAACTGCAGCGTTATGTTTTGCCGTGTGAGTGAGATTACCGGAGGCCCAATCCTCCCTCTCCCCCAATCTCTAAATCCTTAAACCCTTATCTCCAAAAGTTCGGCAATGTACTTGTAACTCTTCCGTTGTTGCGGGTTTCCATGAGCAACTCCGGTCTGCCGGTGGCCTGTATTGGTATGTAGCTTTTATAACAGTCAATAAATAGATTATATAGACATGGAGGAAAAGCTTGATAATTAACTACTTAAAAAAACTATTTTGTATCATAATGCAATATCCTGATACGTTTATTTAAAGCCAATAGTTTATTGAAGCAAAGAAAAAAATACTTTAAATTAAACTTATACTTATGAAGCTACTGTAGTAACTGCGAGAAAATTTCAGCTACTTTTCCGAACTAATTTATTCAAAAGCTCAACTTACGACCACTCGGTCTGAACCATTGGTGTAATAAACAAAATGAAACAATTATACCTATAATTAACTTAGAAATGTCGTAATACAATAGTCCTGACTCAGTTACGCGTCTATGTCAATAACCCACTTCAGCGTAATCACGGCCACTTTACTCCGTTGTAATTATAATAATGTCGGTACATAGGAACCGGAGGTCAATTGTAATATTATATACAAGAATTTTGTATTAACATTCCTTTTTGAATTAAAAACATTGAATCCGTAGTGGTATGCTTCTTATATCGCAAATAATGTTGTCCATCAGACGTGCTTGCCGTTAGAACCGGTCCATTCAAACTTTAGGTCTTTGCTTGCAGAAAACCGCTGCAGAATATTAATTTATTTTAATAAACAGTTTAATAGATGTTAGAATTAATTGATGCTACACCAAAAGTATAGTATATACTTTTCTTTGTGTAATAGGACGGCAAATGAGCAGACAGATTACCTTATGGTAAGCAATCAGCGCCGCCCATGGACAGCCGCAACAACAGAAGAGTCAAGGGATGTCAGAAGGGATTGAAGGAGGGCAGAATTGGGCCTCCGGTAACCTCACTTACACGGCGAAACATAACGCTTCGCTGTGGTTGTTTCACGTCAGTTTTTGGTAAGGCCATGGTAAGACTTCGGTTGAGCCGATCTACTCTTACTGAAGCATCTCCCATACTTGTACTATCAACAAATCATTCTCCTAATTATGGGTGTGGCTTGAAAATATAAATAGCAGCAGGTAAGTCACAAGCTAATTAACAAACAACAAACGAAATGAGATCAAACGATTACATTACAATCGCGACAACACAATAGCGTACTCTCTTTACACAGATTTTGTTCTTTAAAATACTTAGAGAGGACAAATAAAGAACACTTTGTATTAATTAATTAGCATTTTTTACAGAATATTGTGATGTAATGCGCCATGTCATTTTCAAGCCCCCGAAAAGTAGGCAGATGTTTACATTATTCAGGGTAAAACGTATGTTTCTTTTAAATTATAATATAAACTAGTGCTTGACTGCAATTTCACCTGATGACAAGCAGTGATGCAATCGTTGATGGTATAAGAGCCCATTCACTGAAGCCTTGCAGACACCTAAATCATAACTGGATGGAAAGACCGTTGCAGGAAAGCTATTCCAATCCTTAGATGTGTGTGGTATAAACGACAAAGCGAAACGCTTAGACCGGATAGTAGAGGTTTCAACAATATAAGGATGGATACCCGCCGCAGGCCGGGTTGCCCGATGATAGAAAGGTGATGAGGGAATCAACTCATGTTCCTCTCCAAAATGTATCCATAGAATACCGATATTCCTCTCCAAAATGAAAACCGAGTATGTACTTTTTCTCAATTAAATTTTGCGAACACTTGTTAAAATTAAAGATGCAACTTCTGTATATTTTATAAACCTATAAAGTGTACAAATCTTCTAGATAACTGCATAAATGCTTGTCTCTAATCTGCTTCCACTAAAACCTTAATATTGACCGGTGACCGGTGAACGAGTGAACGACCGGTCTTACTTTCACAGTTTTCCACCTTATTGAATAAATGGTTCCAGTTTGAGTTTCGAACGTCCTGTTTATTGTGCAAGTTTGAATTTGGAATTACGCTCAGGTGCAAATTTATTGTTTTAGAAGGCAATTTTGAATAATTGAGTCCAAGATTTGGAAAGTTCTTGAGTTAGGGTATTTGGGTGCCAGTCTGTATTCTCAATTTGAAATGTAATGAAGTGGTTATACCCTAGAATCTAGAGAAGTGCCGTTAGACATTCGAGATCGTTTAATTAATCAAATTGAAATTAAGGGTTGGATTGGACTGATTAAGTGGTTGCCCTAATATTGTTCGATGAAGTGTTACGAAACCAAAATATTATGTGTATCGATAGTTGAAACAGTAATTCATTGATATTATTATACTTGTGCATTTGTACACAAGATTATAATTTAATTATGGTTTATCGACACCATTATACGAGTAATCAAATAATAAAGATTCAGCAAACCATTGAATTTAAAATTAAATATTATCAAGACTAAGATTATTTTCTGTGTAGTGGGTGCGTTTCACCATCTTCAGCCTGATTTCGTCCACTGCTGGAGATAGGCCTCCTCAATTGCATGCCACTGGGCTTAATGTTCAGCTCTTCTCATCCAACGTGGGTGCGTTTACACATATAATATTGCACACACATATCACAGCCAGACCCGGAACAATAATTTGTCGATCACACAAAGAATTAAAGTGAGAGAGACCTGCGACACCTGCGGCGGCAGCCGGTTGTCCGTACGTTGCTTGGAGCATGAAAAGGAATCGGATGGTTTTTAGTCAATAACAGTTAGAAGCCATTGGATAGTTTCCAACGTCAAAAACCTACTGCTATACACCGCCACCAGTCGTTCGTGTTATTTCGATGAATCAAATGTAGGACTCTGCTTAGCTGTCGCAGTTGCTAGAACTGCTGGACCAACGAGGCAGTCCACAATGGTTGCGAAAGAGGGACTGACACATTTACCAATTAAAAAATGTACTGAACAAAAAGACTCTCAGATTAGTTTACTTTACTCTTGCAGATTCGTTAATAAGTTATGGCCTCCTTGTGTATGGACGAACATTTATTACATATATTAAAGACATTAAAGATATACAAATAAGACTGATAAAGTTCCTAGTAAGTAAAAATGTTAAAGATAGTTGCAAAAAAGAGTATGATAAGTTATTTTCTATTTGTAAAATTTTGCCCATAGACAAAAAAGTAGATTATTTAGTTGGTTTGCAATACTATTTTAATGACGATTATAAAGTTAATGTAAAGAACAAATATAATACGGGTTAGAGAAAAAAAACTAATATTACCAGAGATAAAAAATTATTATGGCAAGAGAACATCCGCATACTTAGTTCCTAATATATTTAATAAAATAGAGATGCTAAGAGAAGAAGGGAAAAAGTTACCCAAAGGATCTCTTAAGTCAAAATTAAAAAGCTTTATATTAGATTATTAATAAGAAGTAAGAATGTTATGTTTATGTGTGTTTTTATGTTTTGTTTGTTATGTTAGTCAATAATTATTATTATATAAACTATGTCATACCTAGATATAAGTACATAGTATGCATAAAATAGGGATATTTTAATAAAAAAAACCCAAGTAATTGCACCTAGGTACTAAATTCACTATTATGTATAAATATGTTATTGTATAAAGAGCGCCTCTCGCCATCAAACGTTAAAGGTTGGCGAGTTTAGATGATAAGGACACTTTTCTGTAACATTACTGAATAAATTATTTAAAAAAAAAAATCTTACTTTCTAAAACTCACACCGTTCATTCTCCTGCATCAGTGTGAGGCTGCGGTACACTTTTACACTTGACCCGTAACCCCAAGTGAAAATCATCCCTGTTGGCGCCCCATCTGTGGTGGCCTGTTGGCTCTTTGAGGCGAGGGGAACAATACGCACCGCATGCTTGGGTCTAGTTCTGGTCGGGCGGTGAGCTACCCTTGCTCACCGTCCGTAGACCCGCATTTGCATCATAAGATCGTTGCGCTAACAAGAACATAAGTTATTGCTAAGATTTTAAAACATCACATTAAACCATTTTCTTAGTATACAAACATTTTTAGCATCCTTCCGAAGCTAAAGGGGCAATGCTCCATAGACCACCTAAAAAGGCAACACTTATTATGTTGATTTACGGATATAGCTCATAATACAATAGCATTAGTACGCTAATGGCTCGCACTAATGTAGTCCATTACAAGTCGTCATACAAGACGCACTGCTTCAGTGACCGTGGTAATCAACTAGGGGTGCGAAAAGTAGGTCGGAGTTAGGGATGCTACTAAGCAAGAATTTATAAAATGTGGTTTGAGAAAGACTTTTTGCCTTGCGCAGCAAAACTTTGGAGTGATTTTACAGCGGTGGTATTTCCGAACCGATACTACGATCTCCATCAAAATCTTTAAGTAATGAGCGTTTTGTTTTGTGACACTGAGTAACGCGTCAAAAACTCCTTCGATTTCCAAAAAATGTGATTGTAACACCTAGTCCAAGATATTCGAAATAGAAATATGCTTCTTATTATTCACAGCCTCAGGTAAATTTTAACTATTATATGAGGTTCCAATTTGAAAAAAATAGGGCCCATAATTATACCCTGATGAAAACTTTCACTCCTAAGTGACTTCCATGTAGATAATGAATGAGGTAACGAAAACTTTTAAGCAATTCGTGGAAACAATATATCAATCTGTTACACAGAAGTGGTGATTAGCCATTTATTTTATCAGTGATGAGACAAGAAGAAATTCAGTTCTCCATTTCCTTACACACTTACCAAAATATTTACGACATATCCCTAGGGATGCTAATACCAATCCTTAAATGACTTAATAAAGTGCGTGAGTTATCAAAAAAGAATATTTTTTCTGCGAGAAGTGTGCCAACCTTAGCAAAGTCACGCAATACGGTAATCAGTAACAAATCTCTACTAATCTGATTACCTGTCGCCCGCGTCAGTTTCTTTGTTAGTCCTGCTTGCATAGTCGTCTATCTTACTGCCGACGACGATGACCTACATATATAACAAAGTTCTGGACGAGGATTACGGTATTTTCTTGGCTGCTAATATTTTAGGGGGTATTTTTAAGTTGAAGAACTCATTCACTGCTTATCCCCACCTGAGTGACGTTGAGTAAAGGGTGAACAGTGACTGACCATAAGTATATATTGCAGTTAACTACCTAAATGAGATATTCAAGTAATGGTCTGAATGCCTAACCACTTGACTGAGTAGTTGAATTTTCAGTCAAACAGTTAGGTTTAGGCTAAGAACTCACGGAGCGATTTTCGCCCGCGTCCGCTGCGGTTGCGGGCCCGCAGCTTCTGTAGGATTCAAATATTTATATAAAAATTAAAGCACATTTGACGACGCGTTTTACGCTCGCGGTGTACGCGGTTGTATGCGGCTCCCGCTGTGCCGGCGGGCAACTAGTAGAATCGCGCGGGCCGCGGTTATCCGCAGCCTCGGCGGGTGGCACCCGCGCGCTTTGCGATCGGTTGGCGAGCGACCGCGGGGGCCGGCGGGTCTTCTGTGAAGTAAATATAGCGCAAAGGCTCGTTTCTGGTGTGTGTCCATGGCGGTCTGGACCTCAACTGATCGTTAACCGCCCGTCTTGCAATCTTGCGATCATCGCCCGCCACGTTTGCGGGCGATGATCGCAACCGCGGCGGCTGTGTAACCGCGCAAATAACCGGTCTCGTGAGTTTGGAAATAAAACCGCAGTTCCGCTACCGCGGCGGGTACGGTTCAAAATCGCTCCGTGAGTTCTTAGCCTTAAGTTGCAGGATTTGTCATGAAATCCGGTTTGTTACCAGAATGAGGTTAAAACAATGACCTGCACAGAAATTGATAACAGAAATAAACAGCTTTTGGAATTAGTTCCGACTACTCAGTTACATACGGCTTATTTAGCTATTAATCTGTGACATATTTACTGGTATATATAAGGAAATCCAAACTAATGTTATAAATGCGGAAGTAACTCTGTCTGTCTGTCTTTCCTTCACGCCTAAACTACTGAACCTATTTGTACGAAATTAGGTGCAGATATTGTTTAGAACTCGAAAAAGGACATACGAGTAGGATAGTTTTTAAACTCAAAAATCTGCAGGAAGTCACTATTCTACGCGAACAAAGTCGCAAGCAAAAGCTAGTTGAATATATTTTTGGACACATACTTGGCGAAGCATTGTCAAGATTATTTTTATGTAGCTTTTTTGCCATGTACTTACTACGAGTATAATTGTGTGTTTCTGTTGTGTGTACCTATGAAAATAAATAAAAGTATATGAACAACCTTCATACCTGTGTCATATATAAACATCTATTTTCAAATGACGCACGCCTTTTTCCGGTGTCACACACAGTGTAATAGACTAGCTGTGTCACATTATGAAACGCTTGAGTAATGTTTCCGGCAGTAATAATACGTATGATTGCCCTCCTGAACTGTCACACTGATTCGTTAACAGCTCAATCCGAATAAATCTGTGAAATGTCTGTCATTATTAGGAACATGATAGCAGTGAGTGATGATAGGTCCCTGCACGCAACTTCACTATTTCTGTTATATATATTGTAGACAATGTTGACCTACGTTTTAATATTATTTTGTGGTAAATGAGTGAGTGGTAAATGTTTGTAAGCTTAGACATTCACGAGACCTTTAAAAAAATAATGAATGGGCCAACTTTTATGAACTGCAAGCCATTACTACTAGAGATTAATGTTACAATAAAGTCGAGTTAACTCAATTCTAGTCAATCCCATGCATTTCCTTTTCATTTCGCCTAACGTTTATGACACTTTTAAAAGACGAGTGAAATTTATATAGTTTAAAGTCAGCTCTTTTGTGAGGAGAAAATCGTTAAATTACTCTCTCTTGCCCAGGGTGAAGACAGAGGGAGTATCAGACTCTTACAGACTCAAAGCCCCTTCTCCTTCTAGACTGATGTCGCGGTACCTTATTACATTTGCCCCGCAACCACGGCTGAACATCGGCCAAACACAGACAGGGCCCACCGACTGAGTTTGAAGTTAGCTTGGGTAGGGCTTCGTACAATTTCAAACAAATTCAAAATATTTGCATAATACCTAGTAGTTGTAACAATTAGATACAAAACATTTCATTTTGAGCATGAAACCATTAAACCTATTTAAAATTTAATTTAAAAATTTACATATATACACTTTAAAATCTTACCTGCTATTAGTAGAGTTGACAGAAGTATTAGACCGACTTCTACGGTTGCAGATGGAGTCTCCACAGTTGACGACACCTCCCTTGGTGGTGATGCTGAAGGTGCGAAGACGGTACAGGTCGTCTGACACTCGAGGGTTGTACGGCTTCTCAGGCAGCGAACAGACGCGAGGCCGGGAGTGTTCCACCACTGGGTAAAAGGAATCACGGTTTTAGAACAATACATTAATTATTGGATTCCATATAGAATTGTTGCACGCATAGGAGATAATGGAGTTGCTGTCAAGGTTAAAACTCATCTGAAGACTATTCGATATTTGACCAAACATTTGGAGTCGGTGCGGGGTTCTCTCCAGATCAGCTTTTTGTTCATACATTTTCTATAAAAATGGTACGGCCACAGTGATTAAAAATTTGCACAGTAAGCAAACAATTTTGTGCATCATAAAAAAAAAATATTGTTATGCCCGACAGGGCCCATAATGCTCTTAAACTAATATATGTAAATCCTTATGTACCCTACCATCTAAGTTCACATTGTGGAATGCAATAAATACATATATATTGAGTATTGAGTATTGCATATTATTTTTATTAACTTGATTGGTTTCCTACAGCTAAACCCCATAATTACTAAGACTTTTGGAACTTCGATACTATGTTCCATATTCATATAGATCATACTCAAAGTTGCAATAAAACTCTTGGGATTTCGACATTGCAGATGGACCATAATTAGGTCAATAAAAGTATCATAATAATATAGTAACTTCATGAAGGCGTGAAGAAGATCTACCTACGTTTTCAACACGAGCAAAAGCTTTTACACATAGCTTATATTTTGTCGATAAAGTGAAAAAAATATAAATAGGAGACATTGTATTGATAACAAATAGAAACTTATTCGAAGTTTTTGTATTGTATTGTAATATTGTATTCAATTCTGTTTTTGTAAGTATACCGAATTCCAAACACTATTCAGTTTATTTTCACGAATGAATATGAGTTATTTTTAGGGTATTATTTATTTATTTTAATTCTATTTTGATCTAAATATATTAACAATAAAAAACAAGAAAAATAGCAACATGTATAGCTTGCACGATGTCGGAGCATGAGAGTGATTTTATTCAGTCTGAAATTCTCCTTCCAAAGTCACACAAAGATTGAAAAAAAGAGATAGCTAAGTAAGCTTAAGTGTGGGAGAACCATGCTTCGGCACGAATGGATCGACTCGACTGGAGTGATACCTCGGTCTCACAGAAAACCGGCGTGAAATAACCAAAGAGTTGTGTTTTGCCGTGTGAGTGAGGTTATCGGAGGTCGAATCCTTCCCCTAACCCAATCCGTTTCCTTTCCGAAAATCTCCAAATCCCTAATCCCCAAAAAGTCGACAACGCACTCGTAACTCCTCCGTCGTTGCGGGTGTCCATGGGCGACGCTGATTGCTTACCATCAGGTAATCCAGTAAGGCTTATAAATTCATCAATTGCAGAAGGACCCCGAATCTTTGGATATTTTTTCCACAGAATGTAAGGATGAAATTACATTTTCCATTGTGTAAAATCTGGAGTCTAGAGCTTTTGTCAATAGATCAGGCAGTTCGATCACTTTTACAAGATTTTCTATAGTTTTTTTCTTTTACTGTGGAACCTTATATACAGTCTATTGTTATTATTATAATAGGAAGGAGTTTCTCTTTCAGAAAAGAAACAATAATTGGACGATGTCTAGACTACTAGACATGTAATAGTACTAGACCTATCATGTCACCTTTCATAATGGTGAATGTTTTTTTATGTGATAGGTCAACAAACGAGATCACAGATTACCTGATAGTAGCATCTGTGAATACCCGCAACAGCAGAGAAGTTACGAATGCGTTGCCGGCCTTTCGAGGAATTAGGATTACGCAGAAATAGGCAAGAGGACGGAGGAAGGGAAGGATTAGGCAACCCGGTAATCTCATTCACATAACGAAACATAAATGCTGCTTTACACCGGTTTTCTGTGAGGCAGTTGTATCAATGATCATCCTCCTTCGATATCTTCAAAGCAAAGTAAACGTACCTAATGATAATATTGTAACATACACTACATATGAACCACAACATTCCTTGACGTAACTTTATGAATCTCAAAGTTTCTTCAAAGTTTATCCGAAACACAACCCTCATTTCCAATAATTTGTAAGAAACAAGTTAGTAATAATGTAATTAGTAAGTTTTCGTTTATGAATCCCTTTGGTAACTTTGCTTAGCGTTAGTACAACTAATTTGAAATAGTGATGTCCAAGTGGGAGCTTCGGGGTTGACTTTGCGATTCGTTGATCGCGATATTGAACATTTGAACTCTGTTCTGAACTTTGTATCAAATTTGCTTTTTGAACTATTCAAAACTCTGCCTTGTTAGTCTAGGGGTCAGCACTGTTGTTTTTGAGGTCTTGAGCCTTGATGAAAGAAGATTGAGATACGTTTATAGTTCAGAAGCTTTTAAAATAAATATACAAGTACTATTTTTAGAGGTTGTATTTATGTGTTTGTTTCGCCCTATTCAGGGCAAAAGGATTTCAATGATTTTCTTCTCTTAAAAAAAGTTCTAGGTAATTATTTTCACAATTAAATTGTTACTTATGAATAGTTTTGTTTTATTTTGTTTGACTGCGCTGTTGACGTAGTGGCTGGGCAACCGGCTGCTGTGCAACATGTCGCAGGTTTTTCTCCCACTCGAAACAAAACTTTGTGTGATCAACAAATTGTTGTTTAAGGTCTGAGTGGTTAGTATATATCTAATTTTTTGTTGATATATATATATTTGTAAACGTATCCAATACATGAGAAAAATCTAATGTTGGGTAACGTTTTTATTGAAAAAGTTTAAGTAATGTGTCTGAGTATGATAGTCAATCTCTGTAGATGAGTGGTTGTTTACTATGACCATTTCTTTTCGACAGTAGAGTTCAAACGGTCACTCGATTTACAACCTTAATACCATTAGCAAACTGAACTAAAACTTTGTGAAATATGAACAAAAACTTTCAGTTATTGCTTATAAGTTACATATATGTTTACCAAACAGAAAACCTTTGACTTTTAACATTTTGCTGCGTACGTCTTAGAAAACAAACTAAAAGGTAACTTCTAACAACAAAGTCTGGAAAACTCTTCAAGAATCATCTTCAAAATATTTTGATGTACCTTGGCCTCGACATTTGATATGCTCAGACAAGCGTGCAAAATTAATTAGATTGTAACTATACTCAATACATGTTCATTGAATTCGTTCTAAATTTGTATTTAGGTAAAAACTTCGGTATCTGGATATGTGAATAATGGTATAGATGTAAATGTATATATATTGTACAAAGTTTAACTTTCTTGTTTATAGTTTCTGTAGGTTTACATATGGGGTAATTAGTATTGTTACTTTTTTTAACGCTATTTACTCTATCTTCTGATCTCTTTTTTTGTATTCATCGTTTTACTCAGATAATCTTCAGTTTTGGAGAATAATTTATGGCCATTAGATGAAAATGAGATGCATTGTAATATTGTTATTCTAGTATCCATATGCAATAAGGTCCCTTTCTAAAGGCCTCTCAAGAATTAATTGATGGAGGCATGTGTTCATCATAAGACATCTAGTGACTGATTTGATGATTTTAAATCAATTACACGTGATACATGCATTGACTGTAATTGCTGCTTACTGAGAAACAATGTCGTAGGCCGTACTACGGCGTAGTAATTTCGTAGTAAATGACCTAGAGAGTCAGCTACGGTATTTTTGTTATCTGTAGTAAAACTTTGAGTAATAAAATTAACTTTATAGAAACTACAGAACAGTTAGTTATACAATTTAAGTTGTGTAAGAAAGAACCTCTTAGCTTTAGATAGATAAATTACAAGGAGTGTTTTGTGTATAATTGCAAAATTTTACAATTCACACAATTATAGTGCAAGTCTGTTATTTAAAAGGATTTATGCATGTCTCCAGTATACAAGTGAAGAATCGGTCGACGTAGTCAATAATATCATACAATAATCATAATCAAAATTTTGCAGATTTGCAGCAAATTTTCAGTCAAGCATTATTTTTTTATTGTTATACATGTAATTTATTATAATTCAAATATATTTTGTTAATTTGACACCAAATTTTTACGAAACAAATCAAACGTAAACTTAAAGTACTTACGAAAATGGCGGATCATCTTAAATCACTGGCGTAAGAGACATTTGGTGACCTCCCTTCATAATGTAATATTGATGACTGCTGAAAATAGCCAGAGAAACGTTTTCAGACTTCCATATCGGTCGGGGTTATTTATCTTGTAGCCTTTATTTATTATTTATTTATTATTGCTTAGAAGGTACATTTTACATTATAAAAAGTATAAAATGTCCAACAAAACTGTATACACAGTTTGTCTGTTGGATCAGATGTATAAATGTATGTATAAGAAAATATAATATAAAAGTAATTGATTTAGATATAATATTGTTTGGTTAGTTTGAGGGTGAAATTAACAAAACACATAAGTACTATCTAATTTCAGTAGTAATAAACAGTACTTTGTTTTACATATTTTGTATATTATATGAAGATGAAACTAAAGAAAGTCTGAATCGTGTGTATTATTTGTCGCTCCCATTTCTCTGTCTAGTCCAATTGGAGACAAAACCAAGGATTTATGTACTTATTATGTATGCGTGTTGTCTTTTATTTCCACTTAATTAAAATGAAATAATTTACCTTAAACCTTTAAGAGTAAAATAATTACGAATGTTATTTTTTTACCAACATACTGGTTATAGGGTCTGGTCTGGGTAAATTATGTCTATCAGGGATAGTGGAGTTTGACGGTAGTGAAAGTTTTTTTCAAATCGACCAAGTAGTTTCGAAGCCTGATCATCATCATCATCATCATTATCGTCATCAGCCTGTTGTCGTCCACTGCTGGATATAGGCTTCCCCAATTGCACGCCACTGTGCTCGATGTTCAGCTCTTCTCATCCAAACACTGCCAGCCACCCTGCGGATGTCGTCAGTCCGCCTAGCTGGAGGGCGCCCTACACTACGTTTGCCTAGACGTGGTCTCCACTCTTGAACACGTTTACCCCAGCGGTCATCGGTTCTTCGACAGATGTGACCTGCCCACTGCCACTTCAGTTTGCTAATCCTTTGGGCTCAGCTAAGCTAAGCTAAGCCTGTTCAATAAAAACAAACCATTAAATGTATTTTTTTCCTCTTTATAAATTAGTATTGATACCAATACCTAATAATAATTAGACACTTTAATCTATACACAATAACACATTGACAGGTTCGTGGTCTTCTCAGAATTAGATATTTTGATAAGGGTACATATAAAGAGCCTGGTGCGGTTTCGTATTAGATAAAATTTATTAAACAGCTTAAGAGATTATTAGCAAACTTTGTTACTATTTTATACTCAGTAAATATTTGTATTAAAATTGAAATTGTTTCGTTGTTCGATTATAAATTGCGTTGAGGGAGTAACTTTTGTAGTTCTGAAGTTTTGTTTTCAGCTTTATTAGCAGTGTTGTCCTGTAATTGATTGATAAATTGAGATGATTTAATTTCTTGAATCTTTTAGCTAAATTGATAGGAGTATTTGAACTTTATACAGTATATAGTCTGGGGGACTCTCTTGGGAGACTCGTCGATAACGCACCAAGAGTCAGAGTTGATGAGAAGTTTTGGGGATTTAGGGATTGAGGAGGGATAAATGGGGGCACTGGTAACTTCACTCCCAAAGAAAAAAACAGCATTGTAGTTGTTTTGCGCTGGATGTCTGTAAAGCCGAAGTATCACTCCGGTCAAGTAAGCCTATTCGTACCGATTGAGAACTCTTCCACACTTAATCTTTGTATAATGAAATGTTGTTTTAAATCCCGTTGACTATTGAGAACTGAATTCACTAGATTTTTTTTTATGTCATAGGACGGCAAACGGGAAGGTTACCTGATGGTAAGCAGTCACCGCCGCCCATGGACACCCGCAACAAATACGGACTTACGAGTGCGTTGCCGGCCTTTTAGGGATTGGGATTTTGGGGATTTAGGATTGGGAAGGATTGGACCTCCGATAACCTCACTCACACGGCGAAACACAACGTTGTGATTGTTTCACGCCGGTTATCTGTGAGGCCGTGGGATAACTCCGGTAAAGCCGACCCATTCGTGCCGAACCATGGCTCTCCCACACTTAAAAAGATGTAATATAAATAATAGGTGTAAATGTAACATTGAGGTACTATCAGTGTCATAAGTGCATGGATGATTCCAAATCAAAATCGTTTGTACGGCGTTTCATCGCCTTAATTATTTACCATGGATGACATAGATGGCGCTAGTATACTAGTGGTATTGAAAAATATACATTTATAGTTTTTATCAGATACAATGTTATTAACTTAATAATTTTTTATACAAATTAATGCTACGATATTCCAAACCTTTTTAAAGCAAAGCACGCAATAACCAGGATTCGAACTCGGTAGCATAAAATTAACCGAAGCCACTAGCCATTAGGCCATTGCGTAACCTTGAAATGTATTGAAATTATCCTACTGTTTATTATATTGAAGTTGTTGAGCAACTTTAACCCGATCATAAATCTCAAAACAGTTGAGGGTAATTTAATATTTACTAGTTAAAAATTAAATCTTTTTGTTCAATCATAACATTCTTTACTATCTTTGAGTGAGTTCAGTCACGATTTGTTTAACAAGTTTTTAATACTTATTTTTATTATGAGTTTGCGTTCAAATATTGATACGGCTACGAGGGCCCAAATAATAGTATTGCATAATCAAAGCTTAAATTATACTGGAATTTCTAGAGAAACTGGCTTAAACGTAAGTATTCTTCTAAAATGACCATTTGTTATTTATTTTATTATCCATGGTTATCGATACATGAAAATAATAAATAATACACGTCCCTTACAGGTAAAGACTGCCACTTTATGGATATCTAAAGCTGTTTCAAGAAGAGGGTTCATTGGAGCACCGTAGTGGATCTGGCAGAAGACGTGATATTGACTCAGACCAGCTTCAACTTATGGGGCAAGGTTATGAGGAAAATTACTGGAGCATTGTCATCTTCAGTGATGCAAACAGTGAAAACTACATAGATGTGCTGAAGACGTCATGAAGATGTGCTAGTGATAACGTTCGTGCAGGACAATAAAATTGTGCTATGTGTAATGTTCCATAATTGTGCAAGTGTTTAGTCAGCAATCAGACATACGGATTATTCCTTGCCCAGCGAGATAGGAGAAATAGGATCGATAAAAATGGCGGCTTCACTAGTTCTTAAAAGAAAAGATATTGTTGACTATAGGATTAAGCAATTACAAGACCGGGGTAGCTATAATTTATTTAATGGATAAATGTTCAAACTTAATGTTAGTAGGATAAATTTATTGACTACTCTATAACCAGCAACTGTTATACAGTAATGATTTTAATGTTTTACTAAATATGAGAAATAAAAATAAAAGCAATATTAATATCTACAGATGCTATTGATTGCAAAATAATAAATTATTTATTTATTAATTACTATAAACAATTCGTCCCATATCTTGTGAATGCTATATCCCGGTATTAGAAATGTTATTGATTTAAGGTCTAGCTTCAATTTCTTCCTTGTTCTGGAACGAATACTTAAGCTATGAGCCTTTGTCATAACATGATGCACAAAATGAATCACTTTAGTCAATACTGTAATTAAATTTTATGGGGAGGTAAAATAGTTGCAGAAGTAAGGTTGCATATCATATAGAATCGTATTATAACATTGTGTTTAAAACTAACTAATAAATGACTAGCACAACACAATTTTGATTTAAAATACTTATTAATCTTATAAAAAGTGTAATAAATAATGTGTCAGTTAGCTGAAAAGTCATTAGGTTAGGGTATACACTATATAAGAAAGAAATAAATATTATGTTTTGAGAAATAAATGTCTGAAATTATAATGTCACTAAAATAGTTTTATTTGTTATCCTTTATGAGAATTAAACTTAGTATTAGTCTTAATCTGTAAGAAAAATATGTTACTTTTACATTAATAGTTAGCACATATTATAAAAGTTATTTATATATATTTATTAATATAATTTTATTCTAAAATAATATATATATTTATTTTTGTTATATTTTATAAATATTAAACGTCAAATATTTTATTTATGTATTATTTTTTTTTATTCAGCATATAAACATATTATTATTGATTATTATTATTATTTTGTATTATTATTATTATTGATTTTATATAAAAAGATATAAAAAAACCATTGTTAAAAAACCTGAATTTAAAAATGATAACCCGGAATTGAACCGGTGCCCTTTGACTTCATTATTCTATCATTCTTATTTATCCGAGCTACCGATCGCATTTTTTATGATATCGAAAATGCGGGTTAGTTTATAACTTTTATTATTGTCTATTATTAATTATTGACGCCATCTTTTAATTGGTTTGCTTGACTTGACTTAGATGGCGCTATATTAAGTCCTCGGAAATGAGAAAATTAACATAATTCATGTGTATTTGAATATAAATATATTATTGTTTCTTAATTATTATTTTAACCATTAAAAACCTTATTGTGTGCCTCTGCAGTGTAAAGTATTCAAGCTTTGAAGGATTATTTTCATTTAAAAGCAGCGCCATCTAGTTATCAATGGTAGCGTTATGCAAAACCTGTCAGTCAATAGTCGACCTTAAGCTCTCCATGCATTTTTGTCACCCTTAGTACATTACTATGTATATTAATTTCATTTATGCGTTCGATGCACATAATTACAAGGCTCGTATGCAAATAAGCCGATGCCATCAATGTCTCGCTTAATATGTTAATGGCACAGTGAAATGGTCGTATATTTAGAACTGGCTTAAAATAGCTTGTTCTAGAAGTAAATACTTTTGATAATCTATATATTTTCTCAATAAAACAACCCCACAATAGTTTTTTTTTCTTTTGTATCACGATTGCTTTGACAAAGAAACAAAGTCCCATACACATCAATCAGTTAGTAGTAACTAAACTATGTGAAGCACACAAAGAGTTTTTTGGGTACAGAACCCTGACAGTTGCCCCGCTACTTTGATTATTAAGTCTCCGTAGATACTATGTGATTTACAGTATTATTACTAAAATATTTTTTATTTTACAATTAATATATCTAAACCACTGTAACAATTTTGATGAAATTGAAAACACACATTCATCATTTCACATTCATCACAATTCACATCATCACACCTAAAAATGGGACACAAATTTCGATGCTGAGTAAGAATTTTCGGATCTTGCCATTATTGAGTAAAGAATGTATATATTTTACTATCTGTGTTTCATCAGGTAACTACAAAGTGCATTTATATTACCTCTATCTATCCCGCAGATTTCGTAAGAGCCGAAGAAGTAACAACACCAACTAATGTATTAATTATTTCCTATACAACCCAATTTAAGCTTCAAACGCGATCTACTGCGAGTACACTACTGCTAGTACACAGTACTGCGAGCGTACTGGGAATTTGTACCACCACACCCACCCATTTATTCCACCGTGAAAAATCGCTTGCCGATTTGGTAGTGGGCAAGCAACTCTTATAGATATTTTACAATGAATATACCCACATACAATGTATGTGGGTATATATATTATGTATGTCATACATACAGATGCGTGTACAATGTACATGTATACAACAAACAGACACAGGAAACATTGGGAGTATTTCATTTCCTGCTATCATGTTTCATCGTTTACCAAGATCCATTTATTTCAAGCAGTATTCTAACATAATAAACCGTTTTCAATCGTATAGGTATTCTACGGTGTAACAGAATACATTTGTTACAGCCTTCTCTTGCCGTGAGTTTTTTTTATTACCTATAGTATAGGCCGGGACACGGTCATACTTATCAGATCATCTATTGGTGCCGCCCAAGGATATCCGCAAGCAAAATCGAGTGTGTTGTGTGTTGCCGGCCCTTAGGTACAAGGGGTTTGAGCATTGGGAGATTGGGGTATCGTGACAGCTGAAAACCAGACCCGAGCGTACGGCGCGTACCACTGCGCGCACGCCTCAAAGGGCCAAAAGACCACCACAGGTGGAACCCAATAGGGCTGATGTTCAGCCAGGGTTGCGGGGTAAGTGCAATGAGGCACCTCGACCACGGCCCAGAGAAGGAGAAGGAACGGGAGGGTTTTAAGTCAGTAAGAGTCTGACACTCTCTCTCGCCTTACCCTGGGCGGGAGAAATCATTGGATGATTTTCCCCTGACATAAAAAAAAGACGGAGCCTTATAGGGCTGATGTTCAGCCGGGGTTGCGGGTTAAGCGCAATGAGTTACCGCGACCTCGGCCCAGAGCAGTAAAAGGAACGAAAGGGTTTTTAGTCAGTAAGAGTCTGACACTCTCTCTTACCTTAGCCTGGGCGGGAGAAATCATTGGATAATTTGCCCCCGACAAAAAAAAAGACGGAGCCTACAGGACTGATGTTCAGCCGGGGTTGCGGGTTAAGCGCAATGAGTTACCGCGACCTCGGCCCAGAGCAGTAAAAGGAACGAAAGGGTTTTTAGTCAGTAAGAGTCTGACACTCTCTCTTACCTTAGCCTGGGCGGGAGAAATCATTGGATAATTTGCCCCCGACAAAAAAAAAGACGGAGCCTACAGGACTGATGTTCAGCCGGGGTTGCGGGTTAAGCGCAATGAGTTACCGCGACCTCGGCCCAGAGAAGGAGAAGGAACGGGAGGGTTTTTAGTCAGTAAGAGTCTGACACTGTCTCTTACCTTAGCCTGGGTGGGAGAAGTCATTTGATGATTTTCCCCTGACAAAAAAAAAACCGTAGCCAGGTGCGTTTAGATGACATAATCATAAAGCTAGTTGTTTAAAAATGATTTTTATTACTAGCCTTTGTCATTCTAGTCTAGGCCTCTCTTCCTTTCTTCCACTCAAAGCTTTCTGTGACCAATCCTTGAACGACTTGATATGTGACAAACGAACTTTAATATTTAATACTCGAAAACTAAAGACTAAAAAGAACTAGTGTACAATAAAGTGTAACACAGCTATTGATGTAATCCCGACAGGCACAAACAAGTTAGCAAAACGTAGGTGCCTTCAACCTTTCTTTCACCCACATAACTGCCCACGACGAGATAAAAAAAATATAACATATTCGTTTTCCATTTTCTTGGAAACGTCTGACAAAATTTGTCTCCATTTAACGGCTAATCTGAAACATCTAGAAGAGGGTCGAGTTGATTATTTTGTTCTAATTTTATTCTCGAAGAGGTAAGATAAATGAGGTAGAGGTTGTACTTGTTTATGTTTTATATAAGTTTTTCTTCACACTAATACATTTAATGTCTTGGTGGCCTTACCATGACGCTTTTCATGTACATATTAGTATCGGATTTAAAAAAAAAAAATCTTCTGTATCGTGGGTGCGTTTATAAACAGACAATTTCAGATGCACATCACACCCAGACCCAGAACAACAATTTGTGGATCACACAAAGAATCGACACGTTGCGCCTTAGCCAGTTGCCCAGCCACCGCGCCAACCGTGCTATTGGCGCGATACGCATATGACTTTACGAGTTATGTAAATCGTATCGTTATGATACATGGTAACTTATTTGAAATCGCCAATCGGCCTTAAGTAAGCGCCTTGTGATTTAGAGGATAGATCTTTTTTGCTCATCAGCATTTAGAGGCTAGTCTTGAGTAGGTACATTGAATAATGTTTTACATTTCATATAGGAAAGCTCTCTTAGGCTGACCCCTTTGCCACGAATGGGTCAGCTTAAGAGAAAACGTACGTGGAACAACGTTTGCCTTGTGTTTAGTCGCATGACTTACTAGAGGCCCAACCTCTTCTTTCGATAAGGAGATCACGTGCGTATTTGCCACCTTTCCCATAAAAATATCATATTGACTAAAGCAAGGTTTAAACGACCTGGAAACCTATCAAAAATCCATTTCTAAAAGCAACGCTCCCTCAAAAATTTCAATAACAATAAGTCTAATGCGGCGTTGAGCTCCGATCAATATCTTAAGAAAAGGGACGAATGAATCGCATCAGGTATCAGGCGATAGGGCTTCATAATCTGTCACCAATTGTACGCTAGCCAGCGCATCTAACTACCCTTAAGTGCCCAAATTCTTTAGTCCATTCTCAACTTTATCAGCCTAGTGTTACAGTTGATATTGACTCCTATAAGTTAGGTGAGTTTGATGTGCTTTTATGGCTGTACCTGAAGTGACAAAGGCAGGGTTTTATAAAGCAATCTATTATATTTTATTAGATATGTATTTTGTTAGGCTTCCTTTTGGATTCATTTTAGTTGATACTCTTGATGTTTTTAATCTATGTACCTTTAAGGTTGAAAAGTACTACATAACAAAAGCAATTTTTATTATATTCTGACTATATTTAGGATAATATGTGAGTGTGGTCACATATTGACCTAATATATTTCATTATTATCAAATGATTATCATGAAAGCGAAGTATGACTGGATGAAGATGTTTCTTGCCTTTTCATGTACGCGCGACAGTCACCGCGTCGCGTGTCGCGGAATGCTGCTCATGAATATGGGCCTCTAGCATGGCTTGAAACTAGTCGAGTATCTCGTCAAATTATTACGAAACTAAGCCGAAAACATAACAATTAATTTAGAATGTCTCACGAAAGCTATAAAGACTGAAGGGATTTTCATGAAAATTGGCACAGAAATTTGGGATAATACTTGGTTAATACTTGGCTTTTTAGGCTATTAGGGGGGAGGAGGTGTCAGACTCTTACTGACTAAAACCCCTTGTTCCATCTCATGCTCTAGGCCGAGGCCACGGTGCCTTATTGCACTTACCCCGCAACCCCAGCTGAACGTCAGCTCTATAGGGCCCCATCTGTGGTGGTATATTGGCTCTTTCTTTGGTCTTGTTCTGGTCGGGCGGCGAGCTACCCTTACTCGCTGTCCGCAGACTCGCGCTTACGGTGGCCGGAGATCTTCTCTCGATACCCGACGCTCGGAGTGCCTTCTGCGGCGGCTGGGGCGTAAGAAGAAAGATAGCTCCCTCTCGCGGTCCACCTCCTTCTTTGCGAATGTAACTGCGTCACAGAAAGAGGAAACGAGACCTGCGCTTACGGTGGCCGGAGATCATATCTTTATCCCCGAATACATAGGCTACTTTTCAGTCGGGTATCGTGGACAATGCAGTACGCAGTAAGAATCAGATGCAAAGGCGCGTTATTAGTGTGAAGGTGCATCTAAGTCTGACAAACATGGTAGTTCTGAAGAAGAGAATATTATCAAAGGAGAACAAAAATAACTGGACACTGTTCTTTTTTCTTCTTCTCTGATATCTTCTGGTTTCTTTCAGGTTCCAAGACAGTTACTGATAGATATCTTTAGTGGTTCATTGTTTTCATGATTATGTCTGCTACAGATTCTAGCTTACAGGGATTGCAGCGGTTTTAGGAGGCCTTTCACGATCCATGTGAAATAATTTAAATGATTGACTAATTTGACTAATGCTAAATTTCATAAAACTCTTTAGGTAATCTACATAATATGTGTAACTTTTTTATCTTATTGACACCACAAAGTTTTGTATTTAATTATAAAAAAACTAGTCTGCCTGACGCGCGGTACTTTTAACCAAAAGAGGAAATTATAATAATGAGATTGTACCACTGAGTTAATGAACCACTGTATGACCACTCAACCAAATTAATTGGTGCCAATAAATATCGTGGTTATTTAAAAATGAACCTTGTATATTGAACTTCAAGATCGAACTTCCACTTCACAATCACAACCGCTACATCAGCTCACAGAGGAAAAAAAATATTTACCTACTTAACATAACAAACAGATTTTGACGGCGCGTTTCAAATATTTGTGTAATCTACAGGGTGTTGTTTTAGGGCCGAATGTGTTCCGTTTATGAGACATACATATGTGTACTCTAATAAACAAAAAAGGCATCGTTGAAAAAATTAAAAACATACTTCTCATACAATATATTCAACTTTTTAACATTTTCCACCGAGCTTCGTTAGCATCATGAACTCGATTATCTTATGAATATTTCCATTATTCTAATATATCCATATCCAATTCCAAACTAATATTATAAATGCGAAAGTAACTCTGTCTGTCTGTCTTTTCTTCACGATTAAACTACTGAACCTATTTGTGTGAAATTTGGTAAAGACATAGTTTGAAACGCGAAAAATTACATAGAATAGTTTTGAAACAAAAAATCTGCAGGAATTCAATATCCCACGCGAACAACGTCGCGGGTATAAGCTTTTTTTTCTTAGCATATTTTAATGGGACGCAGGACAGAGGGACGGACACGCCAGCTAATGAAAATTAAAGCAACAGCATAGGAGTTACAAGTACGTTGCCGGCACAATTCATTTGTGATACGTAAGTAAGTGCCATGTCGTTTTTGTTGTTGTGGGTATTTAGACCCTTAGGTATGTTGATTACCGAACTTCGATATAATTTCAATTATAAGTTTGAAATCGCCAATCCACACTGACGAGGGTAAGCGCAATGAGGCACCGCGCGCCCAGAGCAGGAGAAGCAACGAGGGGGTTTTTAATCAGTAAGAGCCTGACCCTGGCGACCCTGGAACCCTGGGCGGGAGAAGTCATTTGATGATTTTCCCCCTCACAAAAAAAAATACTGAGCGAGCGTGGTGATTAGTGACAGGGTTTTGCTAACTGAACTGAACTATTTTCTAGCTTGCAGTTAGGTATCAAAAAATGATGCCTTGTTTCCAAAAAAGTTAACATACAATTTCTTTTAAAACTACTATTATTTATTTTTACCCAAGCAATCTAATTAGAGGTGAATAAACTGTTAATGTCGAATTCTTAATAATACTAAATGAATACCTGAAAATTCTTAGAAAGACAAAATTAAATATTTTTCCCTCATCTTTGTCAGATCCCGTCTTGTCTAGACAGGTATGACGCATTTTAAATAATGTCAACAAAACTTTATTGCCAGCTAAAATGTATTTTCCAAGAATTTATTCAGAGGTGTAAATATTTATTACAAAATTTGTAAAAATTCAAAGTATTTTATTAATTATGTTTTAACGTTGATCGGAGAAGTATTTGCCTAGTAGATCTTAGCTTTAGACACACTACGGCAAAACTGTGGGAGTTTTATCAGCGTTATATTTAATTTCAATAAAGAATAGTCGAGGGGCTAAACGCAGATCAATGCTTGTATTCGGTTCCTTGTTTCACAAAATTACGTGGTCGAAACCAGCCGCGCTTTCACCTTAAGTAGTGCGACCAGGGCTTAAATCGGTCAAAATAGTAGTCTTAGGAAGAATATAAAGGCTGAATTTTATAAGTTTTTGGCTAAGTCAAAGTCAAAATCAAAATGGTTTATATTCCAACATAACCAGAAATAGGCACTTTTGAAACGACAAAATAGAATAGTAGTCCGACAATCTATTCATCAGTGAAGCTAATTGCTCGATCCAAATTATAGATTCGAATGGAGAAGAACGACCAAGAAACTCCATCGTTGCTCTTTTTAAAAAAGAACATATTTGCTACAATGTAAACCTAGGGATTAATATTACTCACAGTCATTACAAAACATATGTATATAAGTTAAAAGATCAACTTTTGCCTGTCGAAGTGTCGGCCGTAACACCGGTCGAAAGTTTTAATTGAAAAAACGCATGAAGCATTTTTTTTTTCGAATGATCATGAATTTTATTCGGAAGGAACATTTTATAGTTACAATGTAAAAATACTAAATTCTCCTTTAATACACCTTTAAAGGATTTAAAAGCCTTTGAAATATGAAACGACTTTGAGAATTTATTCCCGTAATTTCTCAATGTTGGTGTAAAAAACAACAAAGTGTAACAAAATACTGTTTTATGTGTTAAGACAAGCAAAACTTAGTGTCGTTTTAAAGGTTAGGAAGCTAACTACCGTGTCTTACAGCGGTTTTAATATTATAATTATTTTCGGTAAGAAAGAGATTGATATTATATTTAATTGAAAATGTTTTAAATATAAAAGGGCAATGTTGTGCCACGAATACTCTTGACCAGGAGGTAGTGGGGGTAAGAGAGAGAGCTATACAAGTTGTCTAGCTCTGTCTCTTACCCACACTAAAGTAAGATTAAAACAGTCTTACTTTGAATGTCATGGTTACCCCCCATAGTGATCTCACGGCTTCCCACCAACAACTACAGTTCTATGTCTCACCGCATGAGTGAAATAATTAGAAGTCTAATCTCCCTCTCCGCGCAACCCTAATCCCCTACATCCTCAATACTCAAATCCTTAACCTCAAAAAGCAGACAACGCACTCTGGTATTGCGGGTCTTTTATACTATATTTCAATGTATGCTTATATTGTGCAATTCTGATTGCTTGTCATCGGGGTTCCGCCGTCTCCACAGGTGGCAGGTGAAGGGACGGCGTGGGTTTTAGACAGTAAGAGTCTGACACTCCTTCTTGCCTCACCCTGGGCTAGAGAAGTCATTTAATGATATCCCTCCTCAAAAATGTGAAGTATCTTTTACACCCTACCACCCTTCCCTAGATCGTACCGGGCTCTGACATATTGTCACAACTAACCCAATCCGAACTCAAATAGATAAATTATTTTAATTTAAATTTGTCACTCTAAAAACTTTTGAAATATTCCCAACCGTCAGCCGTCGATATTAAAAAAAAAATAAAGCCGCCATACAAGCAAATAGAACAAGTCTGTAAAGTCTGAAACGTTAAATGATTGGAAAACTTTACTCTTAAAGTATCACAGTTCTCAACAATTTTAAATACCCACAGCACATCATGCTATACCCTACTATTTTCAACCTTTTTACGTTGAGTTAGAGTTCAAAATCTATAAAGAAAATCAGTTTTGCGTCTATATTACACAATGGAAACCCTAAATTGGATTGCTCAGTTATCCACTTAAAATTTACAAAAACATTTTATTGTTTTAATTAGTTAGGAAGTGAGCAATTTTTCGAAGTATTGGCTCGTGAAATTTATTTGTAGGCAACATTCTGGAGATTGGGTGGTAAAAGAGGACAATATTAACGATGATGAGTATTATTATGTATGTATTTTTATGTCAAGTGCTAGTTGGGTACTCCTTCGCGAAGGTTCCGAGGAAGACTGTTTTAATGCCTAACACGTCTAAAATATTCCTGTGTGTAGTATGCCGGCCACGTGTGCATAGAAGTATATTATATATTTATATATAGGTTCTAGGCGTCCACACAGTTACCTTAATTAAGACGGGGGCACAGTGGAAAAGACGTAAAGGTTAGGCTCAAAGCACATGCAGGCCTCTCTAGGGATTTGCTGTTAAAGGCATATCATTCGCAAGGCTGGCAGGTCTATAAGAGAACACGGTGGACCTTACACATACTAAGGGTGGCTAGTGGGTTGGTTTTCAAGGGTATAAATCCCCTATTTTTCCCCCCAAAAAGCTAGTAGGTTCAGATTTATAAGAGAGCGCCACTGTTCGTTCAGCCTCTGTTAGCCCGATATTTTAAAACGATCTTAATCCAAAATAGCTGTATCGATCGTCGAAGTTTTTGACAGACAAGCCATAGAGCTAATAAAAATATCTATTATAGTCTTTACCCGCCTTGGGTGGAAGGAAATGGAGTGTTAGATTCTTATGAATATAAAATCCAACCCGTTATTTCTCAACATCAAATCGTGCAGTGAGTTTCTATCGGTGCAAATGTTCAAATCTTAAAAGTTGGACAGTTCATCTATTTTTAACTTTATACTGTTAACTAGCGTATGTTTAATGGGCAGATTTTTGAGTTGCCATACATCTAGATTAAGACCTGTCGTATAACCGAAAGCCGAACTAAGCACTTTGGGTTTTACCTTTGAATAACCATGTCTCGCTTTATCCGAAGCTTGGCAACCCTACATACATACACGTGTTTCTAAGTATTTTTCCCAAACCACGGACATCAAAACGTGTTTGAGTAAACATACACACATAACTTCTGTGAAGTTGGTGTTTAAAAGCAGATTAAACTTGTAAGTTGTTCCTACGTCAAAGTTTATGCA